ATTTTAATTCTATAAAGTATCACGATTTTTTTATTATCTCTAGTCGCTATATGAAATTTAAAGTTCTTATTATTATTGTATCTGGCACATCACCCTCTAGTAACAGCATTACCTTGACTCTAGGTTGTATTAGATATGAATGATTAAAGCATAATGCTCGGCTGTAGAATTCTGTTGTAATAGTGTTCCTCTATAGTACATATACATCTAACTATTCTAAATGAGAGTAGATGATTGTAATATATGGTGTGTTATTTCCCGTAGAATGGTTTTTCCCTCAGAGCAGTCACTTAGACCCACTAACTGGGAGTTTGTTCGTAAGGTAACATTTTACAAGTGTGGCTGAGTATCTCTCTGATCTCTAAGCAAAATCGACTGGAAGTAAAACTCGAAGCCAAAGGATAAACGAGGACAAAAATGTTTATTACCAAAAACAAAAGAAGGACAAGTGTTTAGTAGTGGGTGTCAAATTGATAAGAGAATGTCTAAAAACCTGTGTCTCCGCCTGTAAATTAAACTAAAAACTGTAAACTAACAATAAAAATGAAACCTATAAGTTAAATTTGATAAAGTTAAAACAAAACTATGTCTGCTTTAGTTGATTTTACTGTGAAAATAACATAATCAGTCTACAACATGCTTGCAAGAAGAGTCACATATGGTTTGACTGTTATAAGTGTTTTCTTGTTATTAGGCTCAAAATGAGGGATTGAAGTTATTGGTTAGTACAAAAGTATTAGGCAGGTAGATTTCTGCTCCTGATTTGATGCTTAAATAGCTAGTAGCGAAGTATAATGCCAAAACCAGAGAAAGTTTGATTTAATTCAATCAATTTTTATTATGTTTTTGCTCAAATGTAACAACACTTGTTTTTGATAAAATATAACATGTTTTTCCTAAGTTGTAGTATGCCAAACTATAGATCTATGGATCTATCATTCACGTGCTGTTACCACCAAAAACAATTTGCACTCCACGCTTTGGGGCTGTGGGTACATTATAAAGGTGACGGTGAAATCCCATCATTTTATTAGACAAGAGTAGCCTAGAACTGATAATGGGTGATGTTGAACCATTACCTACCCTCTAGACTTTCAGTTCGAAATTAGTAGTGATTAGCACAGATAACCTCACAGTAGTTTTGTTGAATATGTTAAAGTTAGAACTTGTGATAGGTTCGGAAAGTGTGTTCTTGTTTCAGTGGTTTGAAAACTCAACTTTTGTAAAATAAATAGTGTCCATATAAAATAAGTTTCAATTGGTTTATTCTTGTTATCATCATTATATGAAATAAAGACTTAATCAGACTTGAATTACTTTAAAACAACACACAAACATAAATGAAAGAGTAAAGAAAATCTAACAGACGTTCAATATTGTAAAAACACTAAGTAATATGCTGCAATGCTTTTTTCCACAGATTTTGATTTTTAGCCGCGGCATAGCGGCTCATAGAATGGCTTTACGTTTTTTGTTTTTTCATGCACAAACGTTTAGCTCATACCTCCTTCATCTCTTGACCAATTTGAGATCTAATTACAGTTTTGGACTTAGAAGGTCAAACCCTTTTGGTCGATGTATTTGACCACACCAAGGTGTCATAGATTAATTTACACTAATCCTGCCTCAAAGAAATTCAATTTGAGGGTAGGCTGGAAGAGATCCTGAGGAGTAATAAAATCGAATCGGATATACACTTGATATTGCTGTCACGCAAAGATGTAGCTAATAAAAAAGGAAAACAATGTCTCTTAGATTAATTTACTCTAATCCTACCTAAAATAATTTCAAGCCCCGCGGATTCTTTCTTGCTGAAAATGAAATTTTTATTGGTATTCACCGAATACCCTTGCACTTTTGATATTTGTCAGTAGATTCGCAAGAAACTATACTTGAAATGCTTTGTGCCATGACCTACAGGATGCACCAACTTAGTTTTTGTTCTTAAAATATGATTTCATAATCACATATACTGCACCTTTGACTCCTTGTCATTAATCATCTTCTGCTGTGCTCCAGAGTGTGCTTCACTCATAGCAGCAGCACCATCGTATTTAAAGAGCAAGTTTTTCTCAATATAAGGCTTTTGTCTTTGAAGCAAAAAAGCTCTCGATGACTTCCACTTCCACATGTCTATTATTTTAATATATAGTGATCTGAATAAAATGGGAGGGCATTGGCTTAATTGGTGATAGATTCTAATGACTTGAGTAATATTTTGATGATTGAGTAAAATTGTACACCCAGAATATATCCCAAAAGCACATTTTCCAAGCACTTTAAAGGAACCTGTGCCGGTTTATTTAGAATAATAGGCTTATAGGATTTTGGTACTTCAGTGGTATTTACTAAGTTAACTTCCAGTGATCGGGTAGGAACTATAGAATAACTTGACGTTTAGCAGAAAATCTCTGAAGGAACAAAATTTGATTTCTCTTAATCTCAACCTAATTTAATGCAAAGAAAGAGACTAGGCACAATAAAGCAATCTTTGTTCTTAAATACTCATCACAGACACTGTAACAGACTAAACAAATGCTACTACAACCAGGGTAAAAATAAGTTAATAAATATAACAACAAAAAACTTTCAAACAACTAGAATACAAATTTTATCAGTTAGAAAGAACAATTAGTAAACCCATTCCTGGCCAGGACTAGGTACAAATGTTAATGAACAATATAACATAAATCTCAATGTGAATAATTTACATTATTTAAAAAAAGAAATTAGGAAAAGAACCAAAAAATAGAAAACCTAATTCACCATAGAATGATAATATTTCCAAATTAAACCACTTCTCTGTATCAAGAACAATATCGAGCAATAATTAGCAATAATTCTTTTTAACTGTATCTCGTGAACTAATTCGTTTTAAAGATCAAGGATGATTTTTTATTTAGTGGTTGAGTACGAGGTTACTTACATCTCATGTGATTAGCTATTACCATAAATTTACATAACCTTTAATAACATTAATATCTGTACGTCACCACTAGGCAAAACTGGTGTCAGTTTCATGATACGTATTAAAAATCAACTTGCTCTAGATAGAAGATGAGTTAGTGCTTTAATATAACTACAAATTCATAGTTAAACTAAATAATGGAAAGAATAATAAATGAACAGTAAACAAAACCATGAAAAATAAAAGTAGAATTTGCTATCTTACACTCCTCCCCCCTTAGAAAAGCTGATAGTAAGACTGGGCAAAATGTGTTTACATGGTCTAACTCAACTGCCACTACCATGTATGCCAATAGAAACTCATATTAACTTAGGCTAAATAGGATAATTCACAGTAAAAATACATTTACTGTCCGATTTACATTTAAATCAGGACGGACGTTGTGTATCCACAGGATCTGTTTCTCGTGAAGCATTTCTTTATTAGCCACACTTCCCAAGATGTTGAAGTCATTCGATGTAATGTTACATCTTTATGTCTTGCAAACAGTGATGAAGAATAGCTGACTGATTGTATACTTTATTTTTCGCATGTTATTTGATTCGTGAGCTCAAACAACGAATTTTAGAGCTCACATAGCCATGGTTACACCTGGGCCCATTCTGATCATTATCCCATGGAATTACATCTCACCTGTTGAACAGGCAAAAACTGATGGATAATTTATTCAGTACATTCATAACTAGAATAACAATGCCAGAATTTAGGTTAGAAATGACTGTCTTCATTCTGTGGTTGACCTTACCTAAACATAGTCAGAGCCTTGCCTCTTGAGCCACATTTAGTCTATCACCATTTGCCAGAATGAAGTCAATTTTAATTGTCCAGAGATGTGGCTTTAAAAAAAGTGCCTGATATGTTGCAAAGCAAACCAGTGTCGTGGGAGCTTCTGTATCAGTCAGGAACTTTATCTCTTGCCCCTGTATCTTTACAGGCACAGAGTAAACCACACCAAGCTCTGAGAGAGCTAGGCTGACCACCAAATCTTTTGGCACAAGTTGCTTGCTGCACTCCCTAAGTTGGTGTCTAATTCAGACTTAGATCTACCTGGAGTGGAAGTAGCAGCAACCAAATTTCACTGATGACTCTTCGGCATCTTTTGGGCATTCAGTTGATATCGGTACTTAACCTATTTTGCTGTATAGCATCATATGGGCAGTTGAAGTAACCCTGCTGCCCATACCTAAAGCAAGTGACACCCAAGGTGAAGATATCATCAGCATTGGTTGTGGCACAAACATCATAGGTGGTTCAGAGAATCCCTGTTCATTTAGTGCAGACAAGTATAAACGTGCTGTAGCACTTATGGTGTGTTGACTGCTTGTTTGCCTGGGACAAAACTCAAGCTAGAGCAGTCTGTTCAAGGTTCAGCCACTGCAGTTGATACTGTGAGTTTTATCTATTTTTACGAACTATTCAAAACCACTACTTCCAACTCTGTCACCACAGACGATACGCTAACTCCATTAGAGTGAGATCTCTCACACCTAAATGATCCCTAACCATCTCAATTGGGAATGTCTATACTATCTGCTAAAGTCAATGCGGGGTAAGCTTTCTCATACAACTGGTGCCAATTATAGGTATAGACACTCCTTTTTTTAGAGCCTTGAACTCAAAGCAATGTACAGGTCGTTTTTCTACTAGCTCAAGCTTTGGCACAACTCAACATGCCTGTACCCCAATCTCTGCGTTATACTTCATTTAAATGTTTGATAGCAGTGAAGACTGAAATATTCACACTCAGGGTCAGGCAATGCATCACCTATTCCTGAGTCTAGCTATTTCGGGAAGTAATCTACGTCAAACACTTCACAAGGCAGTCCATATCTTTTTTTATGCAGCCTTTAAAATAAGAGATAGTCTTTATTTAGTTATCTGTGGTTTTAGCATTAACTTCTCAACCACAGACTCTCAGCCATCATCAGGCTGACATGTTTTAAACAAAAGGGGTGCAGTGGAATGGGCTTGTACAAGGACTCCTATATTTGGACGAGTAATAGATCCATGTCTTAGTGTCTAAAAAGATGAGTTACTGTAACCCATCCATTGGCTCTGCATGACCCCAGGCTTTTTCAACACCCATGTCTGCACTGCCTGTATAGCTCCCTGCCTGGAGAGGCTCAATGCTGTCCCCAAAATCGCCACATTCACCAGTACATTCCTGTACAGGTGAGATAACCTGTTGGCAATACAGCTCATGCTAGTGGATGTAATTGATCAATGACGCATTCAGCCTCTTTTAGTTGGTTGAGGATGGTATTGGCTAGAAATGAAGTCAAACTCTTCTTGCCAAGAAATTCTTGGAGGTCTTAAGGTCCTATAGAAATTGTCTATATATTTGTTTATAACCGAAGCCTTCATGGCTCTAGGTGTTCAGCTTATATAGGTTTATCTGTCATTACCACTTTGTTACCATAACAGTTTTAATACAACTTTAAGTAGATTAAGGACTTCCATTCTTAAATCTCTAACATATCTCACTCAAGTTATACCATGGTCTACACAAAAGGTGCTTATAAATTGCAACTTGTAGACAAAAGATTAAGAAGCATTCACTGAAATCTATTACGTTAATAACATATCAATTTTAACAAATTGAACACATTTCATCACGATAACACGAAAGATTATTTGGGGATGTTACGTATTACAATTTCAAATAGCTTAAAACTGAGTTAAATTGTCATTTACATTTAGTAGTTAAATAAATGCCGATATATATCCAATTTATTATATTTGCCAACAAGATTGATACACACAGTTTTCTTTTTTTAATACAAATATATTTTAATATACAACCAATAATACAATTTACAATAACAGTTATTACAAATAGTTACTACAAACAATTATTCATAAACAAAAGTTTTACAAACTTACAAGCAATATAAAGTCTTCTTTCTGGTCTGGAACTTCCTTGATATCTTATCTAGGGTTCACGATGAGCGAGTTAATTTTGGAGTTGACGTAGGTACAATTCACTTAATAGGGAGCTAGCTAGCTCGGTGGTCTTCACTGATCACATGCCGATTTTTTCCCACCAATAAAGTTAGGTAATGTTTTCGTAAAAGTATAATGTACGATGTGAATTCACTGAAGTTAGATGGTTTGTAATGTTCGAAATTTATATATGTTCCTGGTCAATGTTCCCGATTACTGTTTTTAGGCGCATCACGTTGGTTATATTTATAGGCATGTGGATAGGTTCTCGAAATTTCAGGTTACGCCAGAATACAAACGATACACTAGCGTTTACGTACACACGTATATTGTTGAATCTTCTACAACTTTAGAGTATAGGCGAGAATTTCGCAATACAGATTTAACAGTATAAATTATGTACATTTCTAAATATAAATTTAACTTAAACAAATATCGACATTAAAACAAATATATAATAGTAAATCCGTCACAGGGAATTCCTGCTATATCTTGTAATTTGATGGTTTAAGTTGCTGGAGTATGAGATAAAACCTGTCCATTCATAAAATAATATGATTTTGTGCTTCAGTTACATAACAAAATTGCAAACAGTTGATTCATTTGATGAAAAAATAAGTTCAATAATAGAGCTACAGTAACAATTGTAAACATCTTAATAGTTGAACGTTTTGTAATTATATATTGTTAGATATTAGAATTTCAAATGGTCTGAAATTGAGTTAATTGATAATTTAAATTTAGTAGTTAAATTGTACTTTGGATTTAGGAGTTAAGTAAATTGCCGATATATAGTCAGTTTATGATATTTGCCGACAAGATTGACACAAATACGTTTTAATATACACACAACAATACAATTTGCAATAACAGTTATTACAAATAGTTATTACAAACAATGATTTATAAACAAAAGTTTCACAAACTTACAAGCAATATAAAGTCTTTTTTCTAGTCTCGAACATCTTTGATATCTTATCGAGGGTTCATGATGAGCGAGTTAATTACGAGTTGATGTAGGTATAATTCACTTAACAGGGAGCTAGCTAGCTTCGTCCTTCGTTATTTACCAGCCACACACGCCGAGTTTTCCACTGTGACGTTAGGTAATGTTTTCGTAAAAATACTAATGTCTGATGAGAATC